TGGATATGGGTTATTAAAGACTTCAAATCCAAGAGTGGATATGTCTTTTATATTAAATGTGTAGTTGTATGTTCTTAATATAACTCAAAGTTAGAAATTTTGAATAAATCAAATAGGAAAGTCAATAGAAGACATATCCACTCTTGGAGAAATTTCAAAGTAAGTCTACACCTGTGCCATTAAAGAAAATAATTTTAGGGCACAAAGTATACAGTTGCTCTCACCTGGAGAAATTTCTGCAGAGTGTAATATTTCTAAACACAACCTTGTGGCCACATATAAAATTGAGGGTTGTACTAGAGAGCAATTGTACAGATCATCGAGGGGAATGGGATTAAAAGTCGAAAGCTAACGAGTCACCTTAATGGAAACCCAACCTAGTTGACTGGAGATCCTAAGATCTAGGTTCAAAGGGACAATAGAAATTCTGAGTGACTTACCAGAAGCACTGGGAAGATATAAATCTTTTGCCCATTTCATGAGACAGTGCTACCTACAGCGAGGATTAGGATAAACTACGCTTTTAATGACTCTTATACCTTGAAAATTCAAGTAGGGTATGGTAGGATACTCTTAATAAGAAGTCACCTATATGAGTGTGAAGTGAGGCCGCTTCTATGAGAACTATAAAGGCTAAGTTTTCTGGAGCACTCATTGAATACCAGGAGTTGTTCAGGGCCAAAATGAACACAATAATAAGAACCAACTTTTTGAGGAAAGGTACTGTGTGTTTGTTATTGTCTTGGTTTACACAAACGGCTGAACAGTTCAAGACATTGCGTTCACTAGTTAGCCAGTAAATCCGATAGCAATACACTAGGGAAGGTTCAAAGCCAAAAGCTACCTATCCTGATGCAGTAACTTTCCGACTATACTATCTCTAGTGTCTGCACGATCATCTTTTGCATTTTATGCAAATTTCAATTCATGTGGGGGATTGTTGGAAATGGGGGCATTAAAAACATAAACTTTGGATAAGGTTTGGAATAGATTCCGCTAATAATTTTTTACGGATCTTTAGATGAGCGCGTTTCTTTCAACAAGGAGATGAACGTGGTATATTTACTTTCTCAAATCCGTTTGTAGGTGAATGAGAAATTAGCTCCAAAGTGTGGTGTTTTGATAAGCCTAAATAGGTATGTAAAATGTGGGAAGTGTTTGTCCCACATGAAAAAAATGTTAAAAATAATTGAAATTTAAATAAGCCAAATTTGGGCTTGGGCTTGGGCTTGGGCTTGGGCTTGGGCGTAGGCCTAATTATAAAGTCCAATTATTCTTTTTACTAAATGGAATCTTGGATTGGACATTTAATTTTGGGCTGGGCTTATTTAAATGGGTGGTTAGTTTTTGAATTTAAATTAAAATTTAGTTTTTTTTCCAAAGGGTTGCATCTATTTGTAAATGGTTGTATCTGTTTTTCAAAGAGTTGCATCTGTTTCTAAAGGGTTGCAACTCAAAATCAACAGACATAACTATTCATGTGAACCATTGCAACCTATTGGAATGGATGTGTCTATTGGTGAACAGACACCATGTGAACCATTGTAACCTATTGGAATGGATGTGTCTATTGGTGAACAGACACCATGTGAACCATTGCAACCTACTGGAATGGATGTGTCTATTGGTGAACAGACACCATGTGAACCATTGTAACCTACTGGAATGAATGTGTCTATTGGTGAACAGACACAATGTGAACCATTGCAACCTATTGGAATGGATGTGTCTAGTGGTGAATAGACACCATGTGAACCATTGCAACCTATTGCAATGATTGTGTCCAATGATGAAAAGACGCATCCAATCCGAAAAATGTATTTCTGTTTCTATAAATACCCCATTTGGATCATTTGCAAGTTATTCATTTTTCATTTTCTTCTATCTCCCTCTCTAGACTTGAACCCAACCCAAGTGGGTTCAAACCATAGGTTAAGTGGTCCGAACCACTTAAACTTTAATCCAATTTCATCGAGCCATATTAAGATTGGTCTGAACCATTTGGTTCGGATTGCATCCAATTTAGCATTTATATAGTATAGATGCATTTTTGAGTCAGAGAGATTATTACATAGAGAAGGTTCGCTGTATCCACGAGTTTGTAGTACTGCTACTGCTGGATGTAAACCGTTGTATCTTAGGAGATAGACGCCACTGAGTCCGTTAGCACCATAACGGGGTGAATCTGTCTTATGGACATAGTATCCAATATTAGTCTCGGTCCAGGTTCTTTATTTATTATATATTAATTTATTAATTTATTTTACATATTTAATTAAATATATAGTTGCATATTTAATTAATCATTTCTTAGCATATTGTTAATTATCTCATAGCATATTAGTATAAGAGTTGTTATATCTTAAATGTCACATGAAGCATATATCTTTCCAACAATATATGTTATATATTAACACCGTGGATTTTTTACATTATCAATTTAATTAGTTTTTGATTAATTGTATATAAGTCATCTAGTGTTATAATATTATAATCTTTTTCCAAATATGGAAAAGGTCTTTTTCCCATATTTGGGAAAGGTATATTGGTACATGGACTTTTGTTATCTTAGTCTTCAAAATAAATTTTCTCGCATAAACTCAAAATTTATTACTGAATTTTAATATTGGATAGTTTTATTTATTATTATTTTTTTTTTGGACCCTATAAATATAATGAGTCACCAAGGTTGTAGTTTATAAGTGATACTTCTTAACTATTTCTTAAAACGAGTGTTCAAATTAATTTTAATAAAAGCATCTTAAAAAATTTTGCTCATCTTCAATGCAGATAGGCAAAGAGTAAAATAATAATAATGCACCTACAAATAGTTTATAATTAAAATTTTTGAAAAATGATAAATAAGGAAATCATATGTTTTTTTTTTTTTTTTTTTTTTTTTTCATAAATGGTTTTTGTATAAAAGGAAAAGAAAAATATTTACAAGTGCACAGAGGGCATACCCTCAGAATTTTACTAGGAAGTACAGATTCTTAATAAAGAAACATTTCCAGTAAATAAAATAAAAAACAAAAAAAATTGTAAACTAGAGAATGTCTCTGAGAGAGACATTATAAACATCTAAGACCTCAAACATAATTTGTCTAGCCACCTCAGAAGTGGGACTAGAATTATTTCCACGTAGTCTTCTATTTTGTTCTTTCCAAATACTCCAGCAACCTGCAGCAACAAATAATGTCTGAATCATTTTGCTAGTCTGTTGTGTGAACCATAACAACATATCATCAATAGTATGAAGTGAACCTAAGTCCAACCCCAAATCAAGAGCGTCCTTCAACCAGTTCAAGAAATGTCTAGCAAATGGGCATTGAACAAAAATATGATTTCTAGTATCAATCTAGTGTAAACAATTAGAGCATCTTGGAGCCAATTGCACTTTCCTCCTCTGCAAATTGTACATTGTAGGTAATCCGTCTTGAAATAAAAAGACACCATGAATTAACCATCGAGGCCTGGCCTTCCCCCAACAGATTTTGGATCATAAAACATCTGGATTAGTAACTCTACATCCCTGCCAAGCTTTTTTGAAAGTAAAGTCACCACCATCCCACAGGAACCTATCTGATCTAGCATGAATAGGCAATGTAAGCAAATAGTCTTTAATAGGCCTGAAATTTCATCTTGCAAGAGATCAAAATTCCAACCACCATTAATTAAAAGACTGACATTAATGTCCCTGACATTAATGCAGCATAATGTCCCTGACATTAATCAAATTTTTCCACGAAATTGAATGAGCAACCTTTGGAACTGCATTCCAATATGATGAATTGGCTGCATATCTTTTTTGAAACCAAGGAACCTAAAGACGATCTTTACTTAGCAAGAAATCCCAAGCCAAAACACAATGGGAAGCAACTTATAAATCCTTCAATTTTTGAATCCCTAGACCCCCTTCAGATTTTGATCTACATATCATGTCCCAGCTTAATAGATGCATTTTCTTCAAGTTATCACTGCTACCCCAAACAAAGTCTCTACACAACTTCTGAATTTGATTGATGATGGAAATAGGCAGATGGAAGACACTGCACCAGTATAAACAAGTTGGAGTAATAACAGTTTTGATTAATTCTGTTTTGCCTGCAATTGATAACAATCTTGTACTCTAGTCAGTGAGTTTCTTAGAAATTTTATCAATGAGAGCATTGCAATGGGGCCTTTTTAAACCAGTAGAACATAATGGAATGCCTAAATATTTCAAAAGCAGCGTTTCCTCTTTGCAATTAAGCAAGTTCAGGATTGCTCTTCTCCTTCGAACACATTTTGAAAAAATCACACTACTCTTTGGATAACTGATATTAAGACCCGAGGCAGCACCAAAGACTTTGAAGATGTCTTGAACGACTCTAGCATTGGAGATAGTAGCTTTATAAGTGATCAAAAGATCATCTGTAAAAAAGGTATGACAGCAAGTTGAATTTGCTTTCTGTGCAGTTTTAGACAAACCAAGGTTCCCATTTAGGACTGCAATATTAATGAGTTGAGAGAGTTGATCTGCAACCAGAGTGAAGAGAAGAGGGGAAAGAGGGCAACCTTGTCTTAATCCTTTTGATGGTTGAATAAAACCTATTAGGGAACCATTAACCAAAATAGAATATTTTGTGGGGTTCAAAATAATTGTGATCCAGTTCAGCCAATGAGAGCTAAAACCAAAGGCTTTCAAAATCTTCAGTAAAAAGCTCCAGGAGACTGAGTTAAATGCCTTAGAGACATCAGCTTTCAATGCCATGATTGGGTATTTAGAACTGAAATCACTAACCATTTCGTGCCCCATTATAATTGCATCTTGAATTTTTTTGCCTTTAATGAAGGCATTCTGCCCCAATCCGACTAAGCTAGGCAGCACCATAGAGAGTCTTGTAGCAAGTAAATGATTTTATAAATGAGATTGCATAATGCTATAGGTCTGAAATCTTTAGGCTTTACTGCATTTCCAACTTTAGGAATTAAAGTAAGAAAAGAGCTAGTCACCCCAATTAGAAGGGAACCTTCAGTGAAGAAATATTGGACAGCTGCATATACTTCAGGTTGAACAATAGACTAAAAAGATTGATAGAACCTAGCTGGAAACCATCTGGACCAGGAGCCTTATCTGGTTTGAAATTCATCACAACTAATTTAATCTCTTCATTGGAAATAGGGGAATCCAGAATTAATCTATCATCTATAGATAAGATATGTCTAGGATTAACTTCAAAATCATTCTCAGTTGTAGTCTCTTGAAGAGATTCTGATAATAATCAACAAAGAGATTCTTAATCTCCTCTGAATTAGTTGTAACCTGACCATTTTCAACTTCCACAGAAGTAATTACATTAAACTGATTATGTTGTTTCATCTTAGAGTAGAAAAAGGCTGTGCGCTTGTTATTGTCCTTAAGCCAGAGAATTCTGGATTTTTGGGCATACAGAATCTCTTGTGAAGATAATGCATCATTGTAATCTTCTTTAGCATGATTCTCTTTGACAAACATATCATTGGAAGGGTTATCAAGAAGTGATAATTGGATCTCCTCCAATGTCTTTTTAGTGCTTAAAACCCTCTATTCTATATCACCAAATGAATTCTAATTCTATATTTTGACAGCAGCTTTGACATTCCGAAGTTTTTTGAGAAGAATATATAATGGAGTACCCATTATAGGAACATCCCAGGCTTGTTTAATCACTTTAGAGATGCCCTCATGAAGACACCAGACTTTTAGCATTTTGAAGGGCTTTGGGCCACTTGCAAATTGTCTAAAAATATTAATAACAACGCCATAGTGATCAGATGATGTTGAAGCAGAATATGAAATCTTTGTACATGTGAACATTTGCAGCCAAGCATTATTTGTAAAAACTCTATCAAGCTTTGCCAAAATTCTCCTATCACTTCCTTGTCTATTACACCATGTCCATTCCCCATTGGTAGCAAATAATTCAATTAAACCAGCATGTTGCAGGCAATCATTGAATTCAGCAAGGAGTTTTTTTGGAACCATTCGACCTCCTTTTTTATCTGAGTGAAACCTAGTAGCATTCCAGTCCCCAACAACCAGCCATGGGCCATTAATAATAGAGGATTGAATGATCAATTGGCCCCATAGTCTTCTTCTTCCAGCTATAGTATTAGAGGCATACACAGGAGTACAAAACAGCATCACATCAGTTTGTAAAATATGGACTTTAAGTAGTAAACATTGATCCATCTCATTAACCATAGTAACTGCAAACATCAATGGATCCCAGCCTATCCACAACCTACCCAAATCATGAGAGTTATAGTTATGAATCCAATTCCATCTTCTATTAATTTTCTTTGTAATAGAATCAAAATTAGGTTTTCTAAGTCTTGTTTCTTGACGACAAACAAAATGAGAGTCATTGGAATTTATCCACTGGGAACCTCTCTTTGTCGTCTGGGCTTATTCAAGCCCCTCACATTCCATGATGTGATCATTGAGTGGGAGGAGGGAGGGAAACACCCCCTTGACTCCAAGTCACTCTTTGAGAAGTAGACAAACCTATACTATTCTTTTTGTTATTGATTTTCTGTGAACTTTCGTTTGGATTGGAGGAGGAACAAAGAACATCCTTAGATGTATTAATAGTATTCCGTGCTGGATTCCCAAAATCAATTGCTTCATCACTTAAGACAGAGACAATCTCACCTTGTGAATCAGGTAATAATCCCTTCAAAGATGGAACCTCCTTATCAGTCCTATTTTTGATGATAGGACTAGACTGAATGTTTTCTGCTGTACTTAGAATGTCTTGAATAATATGCCTAGTTGGAATTTCAGGTGTATGGCCTTGTAAAACTTGAACTGTCTCCTCTTGTAGGTCCTTTGTAGGAGTTTCTAAAACTTTTTCTTGATTTAGCTCTCCCTCGTTAATTGGATTATCCTCTTCAGTTTCCTTCTGTGCTTCTTCATTCTGTAAAACTTGAAAAGAATTTGAGATTTGAAGAGGAACAAGAGTAGTGTTACCCATATTGTTCCTAGTAACACAGTCACCTATAACAGCCGTTTCTTCAAACACCTTATCAACATCTTGAACCACCAATTGTCCCTTTTGTTTTACCACCCATTGATTAACCAATTTCTTCTTCTTCGGCTTGGCTTATAGAACTTTTTGAGGGCACCTTTCAGAAACATGATCAACCCTCTGGCAGAGGGTACAAATTTGGGGCTTCCACTTATATTCAAATTCAAGAACACAATCAATCCCATGAATGTCCACTTCCATTGTATCTGGTAGTTCTTCCTTCACATCGACTTCTACCATAACACGTAAATACCGACCTTTATCCCTATGTGATTCAGTATTATCCATATAGATAGGCTTAGCAAAGGAAGAAAAAATGTTTATGATTAAATAAGTTATTATTCTTATTAATTTTTCACTTTTCTAATTTTGTAATTATGAATTATTTGTACATTTGTAATTGAACCACATTAACGGTAAAAAAAAAAAAAAAAAAAAAAAACCTTCTTGTACAGTGACCAACTAGTTCAAATATTTGCGACCAAGAAATACTGGATTCTCTATCGAATAGATCGAGAAAGGAGAAAGAAGGCTGAAATGCCAACAGGAGTCTATTATTAAATTCATCACCCGACCGAATAGTACCCATTTTGGAAACATTCAATGCCAAAGTCATAGAATGGGTAAGTCACCAATTCCTAAAATGGATTATGCAATGTACTTTACCTACTGGGTTTAGGAGGCATTTTACCAGAGGTTTTACTCAAAAAAAAAAAAAAAATGCTTAGGTACAGAACTAAAGGCTAGAGAGTTAGAGTATGTAACCAAATCATCTAGAAGTGAACACACCCACACACAAATGAACCGTATTAAAGCCACATCCTTTAAAGAAGCACAACCATGATGTAACCTAAAATACCAACAATTATAAAATAAAAATGAAAGCAGCACATAAACAGCGCTATGTTGCTTAAGATCATATGACCACATGGGCCCGACCAATCACAAATTAGATGTAACTAAAGTGTTAGGTTTTTTTTTCTTGTTTTTATTTATTATTGTATGAAAACTTGTGATTGGTCCGAATTACATGAAATCGGCCTTCGGCCTAACTATATAATAAATTCTCTTCCACAATACCCCAAGCCCAAAGATACAAAAATTGGCCCATGAAGGCTAAATACATGGGCTAGCAGTCTAAAAGCACAAAAACAAAAAGTGCATAACAAAGAAGTCTCTATGGAACTATACAATACACGATGCATCAATATTTCCTTGATTTCGCATTGTTCCTGAATGAATCTAATCAGAACAATTTACTTGGCACTGTATCTTGAATTGTTTTGATAACTGCAGAGGGTGGACTGACTTTGCCTCTATACACCTTTTTGTTGCATTCTTTGATGCCCTAAACAGTGTGTAAGATATATAAATGCAACTGACATATTTTGGTGATTAAAAACGAAGTTCAAATTGAGTTGTAAGTTTTCATTTATATTTGTGTCCCGGTTTCGGAAGCAGAAGAGTCAAGTGAAGAATACTTATGCCAATTCTGGTTCGATAGTAAACAACATTTAATCAAGTAAAGTGTGTGAGTGTATCGATTTTGGAAGCGGAAAAGTCAAGTGAAGAATACTCATGCCGATTCCGGTTCGACATTGAACAACATTTAGTCAAGTAAAGTGTGTGAGTGTCGTGGTTTCGGAAGCGAAAAAGTTAAGTGAAGAATACTCGATCATGCCAACTCTGGCTTGACATTAAACAACATTTAGCAGTCAAGTAAGTGTGTGAGGATCACTTAATATGAATTTGAAATTGGATAGAGTACTTAGGGTTTTTCAGCAATCCAACAGGTTGAACTTCACAATGGAAACGACTACATTACCTGAGTAAAAACAATACTTAGTAAAAGTCTAATTGGTTGCACTTTCAATTAGAATCGGTTGCACTTGTCTTGGACAGAAAAGAAAATTTTTGTTTTAGTAAATTTCTAATACCTTTATAAATCTGAATTAGAGAGATGTTTTAGCACGAAATTGTACATGTTTTCTAACCCTAATAGGTTTCTCTAATATTCTATATAAACTCTCATGCGCACACAATTCATTACGGTTTTTTCATTGAAGATTTCAAAAATCCTAAAGAGCCTTTTGTGTGAGTTTTTCAGAGTTTCTTATTTTTCATATTGAGAGCACACATACTATACATACGAGTGATTTAGGATTTTGTTCTCTATCTGATCAAAATTCAAATAATTGAAGATCCATTGATACCATTCAGAAAAAGCAGAGCTTATATTTATTTTCATAAATTTAGATTTGAAGAAAATAAGGGAGCGATTACACTTTGAAGGGGTCAAAGAATTTACGTAGTGTTATTGATCTATTAGCAATCCTTCGATCTACACGAATTGAGGGAGTAAACCTGAAGTCGGGGAGCGTTCAGACGGGGAAGCTAAAGCCATAGGCATTTTCCAATTGATTCTTGATAAACTGAAGGGGTGTAAGCCCGAGTTGAAGTCCATTGTACTTTACTTAATATACAGTGGATCGCTCAAGAACGCGTAACAATCTTCAAGGTTTTTCCGATGTTTGGATGATTTTGTCCAATTAAGTTTCCTCACTAAAATCCGGTGTCACTCTAACTTTGCTTTACTTGCATTTATTTTTACTTTATATTATGTGTTAATTGATTTACATTTAATTCGATAAATTTAATTTTACCAAACATTTAGATGAAGGAACAAGTTACACTTATTTTCAAACCTCTTTTGCATTGTGCAACTCACACTGTGCACGCTGAAGGTAGAACGAAAGCATTTAATAAATTTTCTAGATCATATCCATTTGATTTTTCATTAAATCAAGAAATACTGTAAAGGAATCTCATACCTTTGGACGATTGAATAATCATCGAATTTAATAACACTATTCTTTGGCTTTGAACTCTGATGAACACTTTCTCCTTTAGCTTTGAATACCAATGAGTCTTCACCTTTATGACCCCAATGTAGGATTGTGGAACCCTAACCTTTTCTCTCACTCTTTGTCTTCTGGATAGTGTACGAGAATATATTTTGTATCGCCACATATCACAGAATGTATGACCTGAGAGACGGTTATAATATCTAGGGCTAGAGATGAAGATCCAAGGGGCTTCCTTATCCTAGCTCCAATTGGATAGAGCTCATAACTCTATCATATCCAATTAATTACAATAAGCACCACAATAGTATTGTAATTGCACTCTAGGATTTAGAAATTACGACAAGGCCCTGTCTACTAAATAATTACATATAAGCCTCTCTACTACCGAATATCCATAAGTAGCCCTAAGAAAATATATACTGTCCCACTTAAGGCTTACTTCTATTTTATATTCCTTGAGTAACCAATTTAATCATTATGATCACTGAATTAAATTCTTTTAGAAAATAATTTTTTTAAATAAATATTTTTCTAAATAAATAATAGAAAAATAATTTAGTAAACATTTTACTAAAATGCCCTGGCCAAGTTCCAGTGATCAAACTTATTAAATTGCATCAAGAGAATATTCTAACTCTTTTAAAGAGTGTGAATTCCATGTTGAGCATTTATGTTCCTAGAGCTCCAATATTAGCCACCCAAGATACCGTGGTATTGACCTTAAAAAGATCTCACACATTGGTAAATCAAAGTGACTAGTACTGAAACTTGAGTTCACAAAATCCCTCAGGATTTAGAGCCTATAAATTTAGTAGATAAGAAACACACCAAAATAATGATAGTATATTGTATGGTGTGATCTTATGGTGATCCAGTTCTATGTACTCCAAGCATACTAACACACTACCTTAGAGTCCACTACCGCATTAGTCGAGACAAACCATCCTATCTTATAGAGGTCAAGTGTGTTATAGTCTTACAGATAAAAGTGCCCAACTTTTTTCACTGACTGCGAACAATACCAAGGTGCAAGAAACCGGTTAGCCCAAATCTCCTACATGTAAATCTCATTTACACATTTAAGTCACCTATAATGCAACTTGAGGACTATAATGCATCTCATACAAATATATGTAAAGCCCAATGCATGAATATCATATTTATTAATAAAATATCGAATAAATAATAAATAATTGGATTGTAGGGCATATGATCCCAACAATCTCCCACTTGCACTCAAAACCAATTACTATTACATCTAACACCCATCCCTTCAACATAAGACTCAAAAACCCTAGTAGGTAGAGTCTTAGTGAAAAGATCTACAAGGTTATTTGCAGATGTAATCTTAGTAACAACAATGTCCCCACGCTGAACTATATCTCTAATGAGATGATATTTGCACTCAATGTGCATTCCCTTCTTATCGTTCCTCGGTTCCTTGGATTGAGCAATTGCCCCACTATTATCACAATATAAGATAATAGGAGATCGTGCCAGTGGTACCACTCCAAACTCTAAGAGAAAATTCTTGAGCTATACAGCCTGTTTAGCTGCCTCTGAAGCCGCTACGTACTCGACCTCTATTGTGGAGTCTGCAATGCAGGATTGCTTCACACTCTTCCAACTAACGGCTCCTCCACTAAGTGTAAACACATATCCTGAGGTAGATTTCATGTTATCCCTATCTGACTAGAAGTTAGAATCTGTGTAACTTAATGGAAGTAAATCATCACCCCCATGAATCAACATGTAATCTTTGGTCCTCCTCAAATATTTAAGGATATGCTTCACCGCTATCCAATGTTCTTGTCCAGGGTTGGACTGATATCTGTTGACCATGAGGCTTCCTACTGCTGATCGAAGCATAAGAAAATGCCTTTATATGCTCTTCCTCCTCTGGTATATTAGGACACTGTTGTTTGTCTTTTTGTACCATTTGGGTAGCCCACAAAAAGACAAATATCTGATCTTGGTCCCATCTTCTCAAGCTTTTCTCTCCGAACATGTGCAAAACACCCCTATATACGTAAATGTTGTAAACTAGCCTTACACCTTGTCCATAATTCCTTAGGAGTGTTAGGAACTGCTTTAGATGTAACTAAGTTCAGAATATAAATTGTCGTTTCCAGAGCATATCCCTAAAAGAATACTGGTAGACTTGAATAACTGATCATCGATCTTACCATGTCAAGTAGGGTTCTATTCTTTCTTTCAGCGACACTATTTTGTTGTGGTGTGCCTGGTGTAGATGTTTGGGATATAATCCCATTTTTTCGTAAATGATCCTTAAATCCGCCAGAGAGGTATTCCCCTCCTCGATCTGATCGAAGAGTTTTTAGGCTTTTACCTATCTGCCTTTCACTTTCTGCATGAAACTCTTTGAATTTATCAAAAGCCTCAGACTTGCGATGCATAAGG